GCCACGCCCTATTTGTATCAGTTTTGAGAGCTAGATGGGGCATGCAAAAAGGAGAAGGTCCACAGTTAATTTGTGAATTCATACAATTACAGAATTATAGTGTAAATTCCTATGTCTGTATACATAATCAAATACAAATGTCACTGAAATTGATTTCTAAGTTTCACTCATAGATTCAAACATCTCCCTATCTAGTTTTCTATATATCTCATATATGCAAAACAGTTTATTCTTGTGTTATCATTTATTACTATAATTACTGCATTATTTTCCATATGAACTGTAAACCTACTTTTGCCCCACCCTACTTTTTGTACGAATACTGTTAAGTCTATGACTATCTTCAGATCAGCAAATGTGCATTTAAAAAAGACACGCTCTCCTTTATTCTTAACATTTGAAAGTATCAACAAAATCACAGTAAGATTATTTTAATACTAAAGCTCTCAGATTCACAGTCAATTCTATTTTTGACCACAAACGAAGCCCTTATATTTTGAAGGTTTCTAAGAACCAATTCTTGTCTAATGCCCTCAATTTCTGACTTGCTGACCTGCACTAAAACCTCTGATGCCTGCTAACCATGTAATAAGGAAAATGAGTACAGGGTGCCAGAAAGGTTGCTTGATGACTTGAGAAAGTGTCTATACAGAGGCGCCTGCCCATTCACAGTAAGTTCCCCTGATGATAAAACTGCAGAAAATTGTAACAGTGGAGATAACTTAAGTAAAAAGGCAAGGAAGGGAGAATATTACCTGAACATTGTTTAAATTAAAATAATTTTATCCAAAAAAAGCCTGGTTATGTCTGCCACAAACCAAACGATACTATTTCTTTCATAACTTGGGTTGGTAAGAACATGATTATTCCCCAGGAAAATGGAGTTCTTTTCTGTAAAAGTGTCCCCTGATTCAGTTACCATCACCACCACTGCAGTCATCTTGTCTAGAAGTGTATCGTCCTCAGTCAGCCTTGATCTGTGGGACTCAAAGAAAGAGCACTAGACAAATGGGTGACAGTGGAAGACTGGGCTACACATTAAGTGACTTGAACCAGTCTTCCGGCTGCTAAGCTCATATTCTTTCCACTATGCTGGTCTAGCTCTTTCTCAATCGTAACTTAAATCTAAAGTAAGACTTTAGAGTTTGCAAAGACCCACTATCTCATTAGAGCTTGGTAACAATCCTGAGAAGTAAACTGGGAAGACAACATGTCTGAAATATACAGGACACTTGGTGCCCAGGGACCAACTGATCTGTTCAAAGAAGCTGGGTCCAATGCCTGGTCATATCCAAGAGACATAAGTAACTACTACTTATGTGTGCTACTGAAGGATGTCACATTTAGAGTAATCGCATCTTCAAATGAGTACAGTGTATCTGTTCTGTGTGCATTCTAGGGTTGGTAACCACTCACTGTCTGCACCGCCTCCTTCCCGCGCATACCCGCCCCTGCTGGGCCTGAGCCCAGCCCCAGAATCTTCTCAGATGTACAGCTCCAGGAAGGCCCTACCAAGTGACCAAGTGACCCAGTGACTGGCAGGGAGCCACCCAGATAAAATCTGCTTTCCTGTCCTCTCTTCACCACACTGTATTACATTTGTTTCTGACATACTTTCTTTGCTTTTGACTCGATCTTTGTGACTAACGGTTCTCACATTAGTTCATGTTTGTAATATATTGTCTTCTGCAAGTACCAGGATGCTGCCTTTCATCTCTCTCAGAACATCAACTGCAATGATTCCTATACAGTAGGCACTCAAAGTGTTCTGAACGTACCTGAGACAAATGTATAACATTTATGGGAAAATCTCAGGTTAAAGAAAAAAAACTGCTCTTGTTTCTGATTATAGTTTAGACCAGGGGGTAAGTAAACTTTTTCTGAAGGGGGCCAGGTAACAAACACCCTAAGCCATGTGGGTCAGCCAGGTGGTCTCTGACACAGCACTCAGCTCTGCCGTTACAGGGTAAAGCACACGCAGACGTAGGAAGATGTACGCGTCTATGCCCAATGCGACTTCACTGATGGGCACTGGAATCTTAACTTAATACAGTTTGCACACATAACAAAAAATGATGCTTCTCTTGATTTTCCCCCCAAATTGAAAATCAAGAAAGCCATTGTGAGTCCACAGGCTGGATCTGGCCCACAGGCCATAGTTCACTGACCCCAGACCTAGCTCTGAGGTTTTCAAAGTGAGAATTTCTGGTGGCCTGCAAGGTCCTTTCAACGAGTCCGACTAACTGTAGGTGTGGCCAGACTCTTCGTATCGTGTATTACAAGAGGCTAAACAAAGAAGCAAACACAAGGATCCAGCTGCCTTCTGTGAAGCCAGAAATTAAGATTTGCAAAACTGTAAAACAACGTCACTCTTCTAATTCTTTATGTTTAGAAAATATATTATTATATTTCAGATATTCATAATGCTGTTTATTTTAACAGCATGTAATGGGTCTATTATTGATATTTTTAAATGGACTCCTATTTTTTAAATTCCTTGGTTTTGATTTCTAGTAAGATAAATGTCAATAGCTATATAACCCATGCAAACCAAAGCTCTCTGGGGGTCCTCAGAAACTGTAAGAATGTAAAGGGACCTTGAGACCAGCCAGGGTAAGAATAACTGCTGACTACAGCTGGCTGACTCATCCCTGCCAGTGCAGTGGCCCCCGGGGGCCTGCAGGGCACTTCCGTAGGCCCACCCACCAGACCACCTGATTTCGGTCTTCAACTTCACCCTCCACACCTAAGAGCTCCCTGGCATTTCTCTGATTAGATCCTGATTTTGGTAAAATTTAATTGTATGCGTAATCAAGCCAGTGAAGACACGGCGGTAGTCTTCAGGAAAAAGCCCTTCAGGAATGTGCAGACCACAAAAACGCTTCAGCCTTTACTTTACCAGAATAGGCAGCTTGATGCATCCATCTCTCTTTGGCTTGTATTTGCAAATCTTAAAAAAGAAATTATTGTAATGCCTTGCCTCCATGAGAACACACTTCAAAGCAAACAGATTTCACTGGCTCCTTTATAAATCGGGGCCCCCCTGACTTGGCCCCACAAAAACTGTGGGGACCAGATGCCAATCAGCATCCTCGCAGTGGCATTAAATCTAAAGAACTAACATCCACGAGACCTGGTGCAAGTGTAAGCGCCAGCAGCGCCGGCGAGAAGGCCCTGTCAGTGCTATTTTGCAACTGAGGGACACACATCTTTAAGAGATGATTAATATTTTGCTTGTTCTGTTATTGAGATTAAAAACCGTTTTAAAAGAATGTTTTAAAAGGAATAAAAGGGAAAGCTGTCTTATTTCCAGTGTTACTATATAGGGGAACATTACATAAGGAAGCATTTCCTTTGATATAAACTTACTTTGTCATAAGGTTTAACTGTCTCTCCGAAGAATGTGTACTGCTTGCCTAGGGACCTCTACCCCCCGAATCCCCAGTTTTAGAGAGAATTAAGCAACAGCTATGCTTTTCAACATTTATGATTCTGCTGAATTATACATTAGTAACTAGAATGTGTTTCCCCAAGAGCACATGACTCTAAAAATTTTTGTAGTTTTCTCTTATGGAGCAGTAAGTTTGTAAAAACAAAGAAATAAACTTATATTTTTGGATATTTATCCTCCAATTTGTATTATAAAATACCTAAAAAATACCATGAATTACGATCAGATACTAAATCTGCCATAATTTGTGGTTTTGGCTCCAACTAGTAACATAAAACACGTTTGTGGGTATTTTGAACACCAAAACTGAAATTCACTAGCATCTTTAAGACCAGAAAGCCCCTAGCAAGTTATTAACTGTGTGGGTGATTACTATCTATTTGGGGCAACAGTGCAAATTACATTAGAAAGATTTTGGTAGCTGTGATATTCAGTGAAGAACAGAAAACAGACTTAAAATGTGGGGGAAATGCTTACTGTTTAAATCTACAGTAAAAGCAAAAGTCTCACCAGGATTGCAAAACATTCCAAATTGTGAAACTTAATTTGTAAAATAGACAAAAGGCAGCTTCCTCAGTTATTTTTTGAGATCTCAGCACCAATTTAAAGAAAATGCTCATATGTAAAAGAAAGCCTATTTCATTAGAAATATGAATCCCTATACTTAGAACAAGTCATTAAGTAAATCTGTATAACATACTATATAACATTCCCCTTGTTCTATGTGTATGCAAATGAAGCTGATGTGATACTTAAGTTTTAAAAAATAACTACTTGTTTCACTATTCAATTCTTTTAAGCAATAAAAGAGCCTTAAGCAGAAAAGTAAATACTACAATTGATGCTAAGGTAAAAACAATCAAACTACACAAAATTGTCATGTGAATTCCATAGAAAAAAAGAAAACAAGGATCTGTATACTTCAGTATGTAGAAAAGATACGTTTCTGACAAATACTGTCTATAGAATTCTTTATAATAAATCATTTTTCCCATCTTCAAATCAAAAGTATGTTCATCAAAAAATCTTGAGTATAATAAAGTTGACTAGGAAGGCGACAAATCTGACCATCACATGGAATTTATACTACCACAAAGACAGAAGGGATCAAGAGAATTTCAGTCATTTGAGAAGAAAAAAAAAAGAGTCTAAGTAAACATTGTTTCTACTATTCCAAAGCAACCACACTAGAATCAAAGAACAGTTATTTTGAAGCTTGGCACAGCAGTTTAAAATTTGAAAAACACCCTTGCTATTTTAATAAAATAGTTTTCAGGTTTTTTTCCCCCAATTCCCCTCCTCAGCAGGGAAAACACAGTGTACATTTTCTTAGCACTTTGTGGAAGCTCTTGGCTTTCAGAAATGGACAGGCTGATTTGAACCAAAAGTTAGACAAAACACAGAACTGCAGCAGCAATAAAAAGCCGTCTAGAAAGAGGATCAAGCCAAGCAGATAAGCAAACTTTATAAAATCAGCTTTCTGGGACTATTCATCAAGTCAGGCCCCTAATTTCAAAAAGCCAAAGCAAAGCAAAGCGTGCTGACTTACATTGCTTCTTCAGTTCTTTCAGCTGTTGTTTAAATTGTACAAATTTTTCATTATTTTGAAAGTCTGCATCAGAATTCTTATTCTGCAAAGCCAAAAACTTCTTCTCCACTAATAATTTCAGATCTGGTATATTCTCTGGACGTTCTTCTTTTACCTGACAAAGACAATTAAATTAGTTAAATGTTAACAATAACTCAGTTTTGTAATACTGTTTTTATCTCATTTCATTCGAATAAAAATATAACAAGGTAGAAAACAGAATCCCTTCAATACAGAATGAAAGGGGGCTGAGACTTGTTCCCAGAACGGTTTGCTGGGGAACAATGGAAAGAATTAGTCATCCCACCTACTCATTGCTTTTTTTCTGTTAAATTTATTGGGGTGACATTGGTTAATAAGATTATGTTTCAAGTGTACAACTTTATAATACACCATCTGTATACTGCATTTTGTCCTCATCACCCAAAGTTCAGTCTCCTTCCATCACCACATACTCGACCCCCTTTATCCTCTTCAAGCTCCTCCCACCCCACTTCCCCTCGGGTGACCACCTTCCTGCTGTCTGTGTCAACTTGAGTGCTTGTTTGTTTTGTTTGCTCATTTGTTGCCTTCTGTTTTATAACCCATTGAGTGAAATCATATGGTTCTTGTCCTTTTCTGTCTGAGTTAATTTGCTTATTAGCACAATACTCTCGAGATCCATCCTTGTTTTTAAGTTCATGTTGTCACAAATGGCAGTCTCTCATCTTCTCTGGTGACTGAGTTGTGTTCCCTTGTGCCCCGCTCACCTGCCACCTCCTGATAACTGTGGAGAGAAAAGGCGCACCAGCCCGGTGGCCTCTCCTCTCCAGAACCTGGGCATCAATCACCACTTCTCCCTTTAACCCAGGTCCGCTCAGTCCCCTCCCCCATGCTGCACGTGGTTACTCTTCCCTCCATTCTCTCTGCTCCCCATCTCTGGCCTGCTGTCTCAGCAGGTGAGTGGCTCTGCCTTAACAAAAGATGCAGAGACTTTAACCTGAACTTCACCATCTGCTGCCACAAGGAATAAGTGTCCCCTATCCTGTTGAAAGCGCGTCTCAATCTATGTTCTTGTTTTCCTGCCAACATTTTATTATAAATTTTTTTGAACATGCAGAAAAGCTGAAAGGATTCACCCTTCACCTAGGTTCTAGATGCCACAATTAATGACTTGCTGTGGTGGCTTCACCACGTGTCTGTTCACCTACGTCCGCCCATCTGTCCTCAACCTTGTTTTTAAGTTCGTTCTGAACTCGCTCTTCTTCATCCCCTTCAGAACAAACTTTCCCTCTCCATAAGCCTTCCCCCCACAAAACCTTTAAATTGGCTCTTCACACCCATATTTAAAAACAAACAACCTTTCAAATCCCTGCCCGCTCCCTTCGGCTACTTTCTCTTTATGTCTAGCATGCGGCACAGAACAAACCACCTGTCACCCACTGTCTCTACTTCCCCACGCTCAAACTTTACCCACCACAAGCCCGCTGCCGGCCCCGCCGCTTCTCAGCAGCGGCTGCCTCTGGGCCTTCGCAATTGGTCCCCTGAACCACTGGCCTTTTCCTGATGCTCCCGCCATCAAGCGAAATTCGCCAAACTCTCCACATGCCCTGACATGCCCCAGATTTCTCCCACAGCCCCAGTAATATACCATTGCACTAACTCTTATGTTTCTTTTCCCTAATAAAATGTAAACTCTTTAAGAGCTGTCTGATTTATCACTGTGTTGCCAGTGCCCAGCACATAGTAGGTGGTACTCAATACATATGTACTCAATATATAAGTAATTAATCTGATCTGCTCCAAATATACTTATCCATTGAAACCCACCATTTATCAACTGTTAATAATTACTAGTTGGATATAAAATACAACTTTTGAACTAGAAGACAACTCAGAAATAATCTAATCTTGATATCTACCTTCTCCAATTTCATAAATAAATAAAATGACATAAAAAAAAGTTAAATTACTTTCCTACTATTACCCAGTTAGTTAGAGGCAATGCTAAAACTATAATATATATATAAAAAATTCTTGGTATTGCCCTGGCTGGTATAGCTCAGTGGATTGAGCATGGGCTGTGAACCAAAAGGTCACGGGTTCCATTTCAATCAGGGCACATGCCTGGGTTGTGGGCCAGGTCACCAGATGGGGGCGTGCAAGAGGCAACCACACATTAATATCTTTCCCTCTCTTTCTCCTTTCCTTCCCCTCTCCCTAAAAATAAGTAAAGAAAATCTTCAAAAGACATCCTTGGTATTGGTTCTAGTCAGTGGGTGGATGTATTTCTGATCTCTCTGAATCTGAGTATCGATGTTGCAAGGTCAAAAGATTAGCTGCAATAAATCTGCTTGATTACCCTTCGTCATAAAAAATATATATATATTTTTTGCTTACTTGCTATGCATTTTAATTAGCTGAATCAAAAATGAAAATTAAGCATAAAACCAAAATGCCTAAACTACACTTACAGTACAGACGGAAGGAACTGGCTGGTCTCACTGATGAAACTCAACCAACGCACGGTCCGCCACCAAAGAGGGTTACGGAAAACACAGAGAGGCTTTAACAAGTCTCACACGTGATTAAAAATTCTAAATAAGTCCTGTAAGGCAAAAATTCCAATAAAGCTCAGTGTAGAAGAGAAGGCAGAATGACAATTTCATAATGCCTCCCGTCTCAAGAATAAGAGCTATCATGCGTGGTGACTAACTACCCTCTAACCCCACACTAGACAGAACAAGGTGAAACAAGTTCAAGATCATAGCATAAAGGGTTCAGGGTAGATACAGTAAATAAACCTGAAGTTCTTAGAAAGAAATTATAGTGTTTTTCTGGATTAATAAGACAAAATTGACTCATACTCACCTGAGATATCAATGGTAATATTACAGGAAGGCATACAAATGAACCTTCTCAGGGTCTTTAACGGGTCTGAAATGACTTAACCCAGGGTGATCAGAGAATGTCTGATCTGAGTAGGTGGTCCGTGATGGAAATGTTCTTTTCCAACATAGTCTCCAACCCACTCAACATAATTTTCCAAGTTCACCTACAGCCACTGCTGAGGATTTGGATAGAAGAGGGGGAAGGGGAGATGGAGGGTAGGGCATTTGAGGCTGACAACACGGAACCCGAAATACGACTACGACAGCCTGAATAAACCAAATTTAGCCCTCAAAGTCCTTTCCCCCAGGGCCAGCGGCTCAAGAGAACTGCCGTAAAACATAAATTCACGGCAGCAAATATTTTCTCTGGAAATCTGATGCTACAGTTGGCGTAGCTGCCACGGCCGAGAGAACTCACTGTACTCCGGCTAATAAAACAAGAGCCTGGAAAATTTCTAATTCATTATGTGTTTAAATCAATGCAGTAAATGGGATTAACTGTAATTTTGATGGTTTCTTGCTTTGCTTGTATCTTCAAGAGAAACAGATACATAACCCCAAAAGGGAGATGAAAAAGCCGTTCCTTGGGAGCGGATCACGAGTGTTACCTAGTCTGAAAGAAGGGGAGGGCGGCCCTCTTTTCCTAGGACAAATTTAAAACACCTCAAAGGCTTTTGAGGTGAGAGTAGAGGGTCTAGCAGACCCTAGTGCAGCCCCTCCTGAAGGGTAAAGCCCCCAGATACAGGACCTAAACCCCCAGTGAGCCGAAAGGCGCTAGTGCGTTAGTTTGCTAAGACTGTCAGTGAGCCCCAGGCTGTGGCTTTAACATCAGAAATCATTCGCTCCCTGGGGGCTACAATCTGAGACCGAGCTGACGGCAGGGCTGGTTTGTTCTGAGGCCTCTCCCTTTGGCTTAAAGATGGCTGTCTTCTTCCTGTGTCTTCACGTGGTCTTCCTGCTGTGTGTCTGTTCAAATCCGCCTTCTCATAAGGACACTAGTCACAGTGGATTAGGGCTTATCCCAAAGACTGCATTTTAACTTAATCACCTTCTTAAAAACCCTATCTGAGGTGCTGGGGATTAGGTCTTCAACACAGGAGTGTGTGAAGGGCGGGACACGAGTCAGCACGTGTGAGGCCCCCTCCCTGAAAACGAAATTACCTTCTGGAGGGCAGGCCCCTCCTAGGACGGGCTTCCCGCACTAGTGTTCCAGGAACCCATCAGTGGAACAGCTGGTGTTGTTGTGAGAGGTTGGGTTCTAGTTCGTGAACTGTTTTGAAGGCTCTTCTAACCCGCTTGTCCATTTCATGACGGGTGTTTCACAAACGCACCTGCCCACTGCATGGAGTGCTCAGCAGTTTTTGACCCAAACGGCACGACACCTGATCAGGCCCTGAGCAACTTTTTTGTTGTTGTTGTTGTATCCCCGGACGAAAAAAGTCCTCAGAGGGAAACATTTTGCCAATGTGGAAGACGTGAAACAAAAAAGGGCAGAAGCACTAAAAGGCATCAAATATCAACAAGTTCAAAAATTGTTTTGAGTAGCGGGGAAAAGTCTCTCGATAGGTGTATGGATGGCAGCAAATGGAGAGCACTTTGAGGGTAACAAAGTTTACACATGTAAGAATGAATACACAATTTTTGTAAATAAATTCTGCGTTTTTGGGGTCCCCACTCATACACTGGGTTAATGCATTTTTAAAACAAAGTCCTTAAACCAGCTTACAGATGGTTAATCTTTATATTATTGTCATTTAAACATGACAGGAACTGCTGAGAAGTAAACTTTCGGATATCAAACCTACATAAGGAGAATTTCACACCACCCTTGGGAAGAAAAGGTTGAGTTTTGGGAGCACCCACGTACCCATCCAGTGCTCAGTGAGTGCCCTCAATGTGCTAAGCACACAGCTGGACAGGAGCAAAGACCAGAAACGCCGATCGGGAGCAGGTATGCATCGCTCTAGGAGCCAGGCTAGGAAGCGGGCCCTGGTCTGAGAGGCGGCAGAAAAGACACTCAAAGGTTTTAAGGAGTAAAGTAATAATACTATAAGAATATTTTAAAGAATGGTTACTGTAGTTAAAATATAATACCTCTAAGATATTCAATATTCAATACAGGCAGCTAGTTAAATAGCATTGTGTTGGGAAAGGAGGGGGCAGTGCTGACCTTCTGTTGAACATCCAAGTGCAGAGATCGAGTAAGTGGCTGGAAAGACGTTTAAAGTGAGAACATGGGGAGACA